TTTATGTAACATTATTATATTCTTTATTTCCACTTTATAGATATAGTAACATTATATTACAAGTACTTACAAACAGCTTTCTATCATAAACAAAATAGTTGACACAATACAAAGAACAATACAAACAATATTATACTTCCAAAATCTTGACAAACATTATATATACACATATCTACACATAACTGTAATTGAAGAATCAATTATAATTCAATTTTATTATAAAAAATATGTTACTAATTATAGTTTCAATATATTTTCTTAAGTATTTAATCAGCCATCAGAGCTTATGGCTACTGTTAATCATTTCTCATTTCTACATATATCAAAAGCAAAAATAATAAAAGGTACTGATTAAAAGTAGCCATAAGCTATGATGGCTGATGACATACTTAAGAAAATATATTGAAACTATAATTGGTAACATATTTTTTATAATAATACTTGAATTATAATTGATTCTTCAATTACAGTCAAATGTTTACAATTTTTATGTGATACCAATCAAAGTTCAAGGGACATAAAAAGAATATAATATTCTTCATTTCATAACAAAAGTTTCCTCCCTTGAACCATTTCAGATTTACTTAGACTATTACATTACTGTATGTAGGAAACTTGTCTACTCTGTCCAGAATTTATATATATGTGATCCCCATTTTGTATATGTACATATGTAATTGTATGTATATATGGGGGTATACATATGTGTGTATGTGTACCGCTATATATATGTGTATGCATATGGAAGTGTGTATACAGGTGCATATATATGTGGATGAATATGGTTATGTGTAGATATGTGTATGCATAATGTTTGTCAAGATTTTGGAAGTATAATATTGTTTATATTGTTCTTTGTACATATATACAGTTACTTCATATATATATATATCAGAACAGTTTATGCATTGGAAAGTTTCTCAAAAGCACTTAAGGCTAACGCATTTGATCTTTATGAATCTTTCACAACTAATCTTATTTATTGTCACAAAGATTGTCTATATAAAATAATTACTAGTCGTTTTGGGGAAGCAATCCAGTAGATGTTACTCTTAAGTCTTTTAATAATTTAACAGTTTTTAATTCACAGTCATGTATACTGTAGATAATATATCATGGCTCATTACTTGCCTGTCTATAGTCAATTCTTTCCTTCGTGTAGTCTTGCCAGTTCTTCTCTTCTCTCTGTAAAACTTAATCACATTATCTATATTGTCAAAAATGTCAAACTTTATTCTTTCTTCCGTTGTTGTAAGCCCGTATACAGAACCATTGAAAAACCATGCACTCACTATGTTTGGATGAAGTAGTAGACGATTTATTAATCCGTAATTCAATGTTGTTACATCATCGACAAGTTTGTACCCAGCTTCCTTCATAATTTTCCTTTTTCGCATTATTCTTGACTTAACATCATTGTTTGTAGTTTGTAGTAATACAGGTATGCTGTCTTGCTTCTCTATGAATTGCAGTTATTTCCCTTCTTTCAAGATTCACTTCTTTTTGTTTCATAATGGTTATGACTTGACCTGTCAATGCTTCCACTGATTCTGTTTTATTTTCTGGGATTTTAAGTATTTTTATGTTTTTTTTTCTTGAATATAGTTCATGATAATTAATTTAGTCGATCAACTAAAATTAATTTTAAGGAATTCTATAAAAAATTCCTTTACAATAATTTTACTTTAATTTGAATATATTTGTTGATAATTTTTTAAAATATATGTTATTATTATAATAGGATGCACTTAAATATGGCTGCCACGCCATTGCCACTTCTAACCCACGTGCTTCGACGTGAAAATGAGAATAAATAGCAAATTAGCGATAAAACAAGATTTTTTTAAAATATAATTCGGGCAACGTACAGTAACGTGCGAGATATTCTAAAGTAATTAATAACCGAATTAGACAATAGAAGAAACTTGTAATTAACTTTAAGTAATTGAAAAAATTGAGGAAAATTTTTCTGACCTTTCTCCCGAGTGTCTAGCTGAGAGTGCACATAAAACAATGACGTCATATTATAAAGACCGATAATGAATGTCAAATTTTACCTTTAATGTTAGATGAGTTATTTCCCCTCCCAGACAACAATTTATATCTAAAGACAATATATTATATTATTCATTTAAGTTGTATTTTTCCGAAAAACGGAAAATTTAGTTCCGTGTAGGATTGTTTTAGGCCTCCAATGATCTAAGCTGTTACAAAAAATATATTAAACCCCGGAGAACTTTTTTCCCTGTCGAAGTGAACGACAATTTGTAGAATATTGAACTTCCCAACCATTAAAATGCTCTACCCTTCGGATTTTTTAAAAAGTGTATTAAAATATCAATCTGTAATAAGAACTTGTCCTTCCCGCTACACAAATTACTCCTGAAGGAGTTCTTAAATTTACGATATCTTTCGAAAGTACGAGAAGTGGGGCCAAAGGGCAAGAGATGGAGCGAAAAGTTCGATGTTGAGCGAAAGGCGATATTAATTTGGCGTATTAGGAGGAGCGTAGTCTATGACTCTTTATATATAAAATCTATAGAAGTTAAAATGTACATGATCAAGTGTTGAAACCGAGATATTCATGTATATATACCTTATAAAGACAAATAATTAAGTGTGATATCCTTTCAACGACTATAGGGTAATAAATGTATTTTTTTATTACATTTAGTGGTTCTATACCTAGATTCCAGGCATGTGTTTTATCAATTAGTTTAATCTTTTATAAATAAGAAAACAATACGTAACAATTGAGAACCATGACACCTCAATATCACTTCCCTACAACATTAAGTTGCAAGTTACAAAGCCCTAAACCACTTATATGTACTGAAAAAAGTGAAATTGACCGAGGCGATACCAGTTAAAAAGTACAAATCTGTTTGTTTTTTGTTGTTGTTTTTTTATAAATATATCATCTATTCATCGCTTTTATATGGGATATCAAATCAAATTGAATACGACGCAATTCGACATTTTTCAGCTTTCCATAATTTGGCTCCGACATTTTATTGAGCGCATTGGCATGCTAAATAAAACTGTAAAGACGGTAACAAATTCAGACTTATTTGACTTTTATTTGCAAGTTGTCCAACGTTTTCAAAGAAAAAATAACAAGAAACTTGGCGTGACATCACGTCATAGCATGCGTCTTTTGTGGGCTGTCCAGAAAATCTATTTTTAATGTCTGGGATCTTATTTGGAATATATTGTGTCCTAGCTTTTCGTTTGGCCTCTACAGGGTAGTGGCGACATGTAGGGATCACTTCTCTGTCGTCTGTTTGTCGATCTGTTGGTGCAATTTCATCCAAACCTTTTAGTAATGATCAGTACCAAGTCTAGTTGTGCGTGTCGTCGTGTTTTCTGGGTCCTATGATTTTTGTCAAAGTTATGGCCAATGATTTTTTTTCTAGAGTTTGTCTGAACTATTAAACCACTGATGGATTATTAATAAAAGTTTACAGAACTGATCTGCAGCTAAAGTACTTGCGCATATTGAACGGGTTTTTCGGTAGAATGATTTTTGGCTGAGCTTTGGCCCTTGAAAAAGAATGTGTTTTTTGTGTTGCAAGCTACACTGAAGCTTGTTCCGACTACTTCTCAGAAACTACTAGTGCAATTTCATCCAAACTTTACCGGAAGGATCAGTAATAAGTATAGTTGTGCTAAAAGTTCAATGATTTCTTTTCAAAGTTATGGCCCTTTAATGATTTTATTTTTTTAAAGTTTTGTTCCGACTCTTCTCTTATACTATTAATGCATTGCTTCAATGAAACGTTACAGGATTGATAGGTACCTCAAATTCTTGCATATATTAAACGGGTTTTCCGGTTTAAAAATGTTTGGCCTTGAACAAAAATTGTCTTCTTTAATGTCAATGATTTTTGTGTCTCCTTTTTTCCGAGAGCTAAACCCCGGTAAAAAAACAACAAAATATTCCCGTTATTACTTCACAGTGCACTGCTGTTCGCAATATATAAGTCAACCTGTTGCGCTTATTTCCCAAATAGTGACTTAACCCCTAAGTCAGTTCGAAAATGCAAAAACATTACGGATAACTCAGTAAGTCAGAATTAACTTATATGAACAAATATTCACTATGCAATGATTGTACATTTAGTTCTTTTGTAGTTTTAAAATTACTGGGTTAAAAGCGGAAATTAAAATGTTAATGTAAATATAAGAATTTGTATAGCTGTTTTGTCTAGTAACGTGACAATTAATAGATATTTTTTGCGTCCATGCTGTTCATGGATAACAAAAAATGATTGAGTGAGACTCCATTTACCTGACGTAACGTCATATGGAATTCGGTTTGAATGAAATTCCGTTCAAAAACATTCGTATCAAAACGCTATACCCCCTCCTCGCCCCCCCCCCCCCCCCAAAGAGAGAAAAAAACAACAACAAACAAACAAGAAAATTCCCATTTGCAAAAAACACAAATCTGCAACTTTATGTTTGCACCCCTGAGCCAAAGTTATGATAATGATCAAATTTCAGTTTGAATGTAAACAATCGTATAAATTACATTGCTGCAAATTTTAATACCAAACATACCAGTATGTTTCTTTGATAAGTATACAAAAATTCCTTTTACCAAAGTGCAATTTAATTATTTACAAAATGTAAGCAGAATAAATAATATAAGTTCTATCTACGAAAAACAACTTAAATTGCTGTGGATTTAGATTTAACCACGTTATCCTTCCATGTTTCACGATTGGGGTTTAAAACCTCTAATACCTTTGCAAAACAAAAGATTTTGATTCCCTTGTAAATTTCGTGAGAGGCGTTTGGACACCCCTTGCATAAGTAAAGATTTTTATATTCCTGTAGATGTCATGTTAAGTGTTTTGAAATCCATTGCAAAACTAAGATTATGTAATAAACCCTTGTCACATTTCAGGAAAGAAAGGTCAATTTTGTATACGCCCTGTTGTTGTCTACTTGACTCTGCTTACCGGTCTGTTGACCTTTCACCTTGTTACTTTTATTCTTTCAGACGAATATCAGTGATATATTAATTGCTGTCAACCCCTGCAAGCGGCTGAAGATTTATGACGATGAGGTATGTAATATTTAAGTTAATTTTACAGCGCCCTTTTACCTTATGTTGCTGAATTTCTTAAATGGACTTGCCGAGTCTCCATATTCTGGAACTGTCGATTATCAATTCTGGGGATATCAAGATGAAGATTTAAAGTAATCCAACAGTTATGTACCTTGTCAGACAGAACGGAACTGCAGGCTTGCCTAGCTCTTTACTGGTGGCAAAAGTTTTCAGCAATGTAAGGTATTTGAAACAACTCAAAATAACCCAGCATGTCTTTAAAATTGTGAATATTTTATAATAAATGTAAGTTGTTTAAGTAATCATGTGAGGATAGTTGGACTTTATATTCACACTTTTCATTTACAATCGATTTACTCCAATCCGTGTCAATGATATACATCTAGTTTCGGAAAAATGAATCAAATGATACATAAATTTGTACACTTTTTCTTCATATTTCATATATTTTAACAACATTGATATTGAATTGTTTTAACATATCACCAACACTTTGATGCCATTTAACAATTTCTCAGTTGCATAATATCTGTTCACAACCTACCAATCAATCATAATTACTATAATTTCATGATTACTAGCTTCTCGATTACTGTGTTTAAAACACAATTTTAAAAAAGCACAGTGTTAACAAACACAGTGGATAAATAATGTCACTCCCTGTTTTAGAGAGGAAGGTAAGTAGGAGAGATAAGTTTATTTATATACTAGTAGGGTACAGTAACCGGAAGAAGGAAGTACTTGTAATATCGCAATGCGTTGTGCAAATTAAACTATGACGGCTTACACAATATGGTAGTGATACAGATAGTATTCTGCAGTAAATATTGTTCATTATGTCACACTTAACAGTGATAATTTCGTTCCTAAAACCATATTTTCAATAGGCGTCACTTACTTTTCAGGACAATTTTATTACAATACGACTCTGACTTTAGTTCGCCAAGGCGAAACACTTAAAACAGCTTTAGCACATTTTATACGATGTTTATAATAAGCCATGCAGATTATATAAAATCTTTGTTTTATAGATCCATGATAAATACAATGCTGACAAATTCGGAACAGATTTAGAGCCGCATATTTTTCAAGTCGCCGCAGCAGCATACAGACGCATGCGTGAAAATGATACAAATCAGGTTTACAATTACCATTATGTTTTGAAGAAATTGAATAAACCCGATTTAGAAAACAGCAAATACAATACGAATATATGCCTTATTTACGAATATTTCACAATAAGAAATGAAAAATAAAACCTACCTTGCCCTCAGGGTGAAGATAACTTGACATTTTGTTATGGTAGAATTGTGCCTCCGCTAATGGCGGTGCCTAAAAATGTATTTTGTGTTTAATCTATAAATAATTTAATAAGAATGTAATCAACATTAAGGATTTTCGGAAGGTACATATATAACGTACACTATAGTCGAGTAAAGTCAATTTTATTAACTATTTAAAATTTGGTAGCTTTACTCTTGTCAGACATCAAATATGTTATATATCCTGTACACACGTATATAGGTCATCATTGTTTCCGGGGAAAGTGGAGCCGGCAAGACAGAGAGCTCAAAATATATGGTCAAACATATGGTACACATGTGTCAGAAAGGAGATATGGTTTTACATGAAAAAATCGTGAAGGTAAATACATGAAAATCTATGTACTGGTCTTTGAGCAAGGATATTATTATATTTTATTCTCTTTGCTTTTGGTTAGGCTTTACGTCGCACCAACACAGTAAAGTTCATATAATGACTTACCAGCTTTACTGGTAAAGGAAGGCCTCAGATGACCCTCCATGTATTATTCCACGGACATACATGCACCTGAGTAATTGCACTGGCATTTCGTAGGCTAACTGGATCGCTTCCTCGCATACGAGAATCAAAAGTCTCTGGCGGGATTCGAACCCATAGCATTGAGGTGCATTGGTGGATATAAAGTCATATTGCAGCATACCCATAAGGATGTTACGTATATAACAACGATCAAAATACATTATAAACTACTATTACAGAAAAAAACACAACATAATATGATTTTCAGTATGAACCTTAACTGCTTGAAAATGCGAAAGAAATGTGACTCGACCAGTTACATTAAAAGTAACAAAATGCAAAAAATCGCATCTCAATTACCATTGTAATATAATTAAACTTGTAAGATAAAGGTAAAATTTGGCCCTTCAAAAATATTTTCTAGATCAACCCACTTTTGGAGGCTTTTGGAAATGCAAAAACAATAATGAATGACAACTCCAGTAGATACGCTAAATACCTGGAAATCAGCTTCAAAGAAGGTGGCGAACTTGCTGGAGGTGATTATAAAGATATTAGTTATTGTCATTATGACGTCTTTTATAATAACTGTGACCTAATTGATATAGTTGGTCCCTCCCCTTCCTTTTCCGCACTTGTGCCAACTCCCAAATTTTTGGTTCGGTGCTCTTGTAGATGCCCTGCTAGTATGACTTGTTTGAGTCAGGAACTGCTTTCACTCTTCTTTTTAATCTCTTTTTGAGAACTTTGATAGAAATTTAAAATATGTGTAAGTATTTTATTCTAATGAAATGAATCACATTCTCCCCCCCCCCTCCTACCCCAGCTATCTGCATATTAGTGAATCGTTGTATTATTTTAACCTGTAGATCTTATATATATATTTCACTTTTCAAGAAATATAAAAATTGTGCAGTAGATCTTAATAAAAAAATTACAACGCAAAAGAAATATAAAAAGAAAATTAATGCACTTTATATTTTCCTCTATTAAATCAGCGGTCGTTACAGACTACATGTTAGAGAAATCCAGGGTAGTTCATCAAAATAACGGAGAGAGAAACTTTCACATATTCTACGCAATGTTTGCTGAATGCACACAGGAAGTCCTTGATGACCTCTTTCTGAATGACCCAGTAGACAGTTACAGGTGAATTATTTATATAGTTTGGTTGAGTGGTTTGTTAAGAAGTTTGATCATAATACCCGGAACTCGTAAAAATCGTTTCAAAGGATCGATTTTTGTTTTTCAATCATTCTGTATTTTCAACGTTTTTCTTATCGACATTATATAGTCTGTATTGTCGTTTACGTCTTACCTAAAGGCGTTTCATTGGGTTCATTTGCATACTTAAGCAAAAAGACAACAAACTTGCAGAAGGTACTGGTCTCTTGATAAAGACAAAAGTCACTAATATTTAAAGAATAAGCACAAGTACTTGAACTTCTTACTTCGATATTCTATTACTATCTTATTTATTCTTCTTCAATATTCCTTTAAAATGATCATTGTATTGTAAGATTGTCGTCTACCTGTTCGTTTGTGACTTCAATTTATTTATCATCTAACAACTAGAATAATGCAGAGCGATCAGTATAACCTTGGTGAAACAGAACGATTTAAGAAGATGTATTATGACAGTATGGAGATATTGCAAAAAATTAAAGTTGTAAGTAAACACAATTATTCATTTGATAAATGTAAAATCTTCACATAAGTTTAATCAGAATAAAATCACAAAAAAATATAATTTGAGAAAAAGCTAACAAAAAATAGTATCGACCTTGTCATAGAAAGCTACATGTATAATAATTCATGCATACATTTATTACCCTTTTAATATTCCTTAGGCCATACAGTATTAGATTAACTACTTTTGTTTGCAAGTGCCTTTTTTATCTTTGTTTATGTGTTAAAGCCACATCCGTCTATTTTAATAGTACTTTATTCATATTTATTTAAGTACATTTTGCCCTGTCCAATGTGACCTGTTTATGTTACAAGTACTAATGTTGCTGCAATATAGCAATTGAGAAACCCCGCGCGCAAAATAATCAGCTCATAACAGATACCTTACCAAATCGTTCCTACACACATATGAGAGAGGGGCTAGATATTAAATCCAAAAAATATGCTTTCACTGATGCCTACCTGGTGAGAAAAATAATTCCAACAAAAACAACACTTACTGTAGTCAGTAAATTTATTAGATTATAAAAATATCAAAGCATGCACATTATCTTTTTCACCTAGAATGCAACTCATTTTCTACAAATTTCATCAGCTAATCATGGTAAGAAATATAACAATACATATGTTATTAAGCCAAAACAGCAACATTCATTGACTTACACGTTTCGCGGCAAATGGTTTATCATGATATAACAAGAAAAACATTGAAGCAAAGCATCAAAAGGCGTCCGAGCAAGAAATGCAGCAAGTGAAGATGAACTACATATCTGATGACCAGATATTCTTATGAACTTTTTCAATGGTAAATTGGATTTTAACAAAATTGTATGTCATTTATGAATGGGCGGACAAAAGACATTATTCATCATGAACTTTGGTGGGCTTGCTAAAGATTATAGAATAATAAATGTATTTTCTTTGGAACATACAAAACAGTAGTAAACATGAATAATTAAAGTCTGTTTTATGAAACATTTGGGATGAATTTCAAAAAAACAAACTCAGGAGTTTAACAAAATTAAGGTACATTAAAAATCATGAATAGATTTGCATGGCATGTTAACATTATTTATCAATATAATGGAAGACTGTTATTTGAATTTTAGACAGGTATAAGGAAATTCACTAACATCATGCTCATGCGAGTCCAAAGATTTTAAAGCTACTTGTCATTGGTGATAAATGAAGATCTATTGCTAATTGATTTATTGGGAGGTGAATCTACTATTTTGTTGAATTCCCTGAAAACCCTTGTCTGACCTACCAGTGTGTTTACATTCCTATCAAAAACCCATAAAAACTAATGTTAAAACTGACGACGAAAGTTTCTGTTGTTAAGATGTCACTATTCGGCAAATCAACATTCCACTCAAACCACCATAAATTTGATTGCCTTCAAACAAAATATAGAACAGCAAAAATTCGGGAAATCAGGGTTGGGTTTAGCAAAGGAGACTTGAATAGCGAATAGGTTTTATAGTATACTACTGCTAGACCTGTTTACTGTCACACATCGTCAAAATAAAAGCGACATATTAAGTTATGGAAGCCAGAACTAGGTCGATTTAAATATTCACGGCAGAAAAGTGCGATCAGGACCGTAAAAAAGAAAACCGGCAGAATTTGTGGAAAAGACAATTTTAAAATGATAATACTATAATAATAATATAACAATTCGTATAAATGGCCTACATAATTTTTTTCTATAAATTCATTGTTGAACATTCATCATTTATTTCCATAGCGCGACACGAATGACCTTTTCGTTTAGTTTCATATTTCTTCTAAAAATATATTTTCGGACTTTTACAATGTTAAGCTTAAGGTCACCTTTTTATAGCTTTTAAATTCATGTACAGCAATAAAATACATAATAACCCACTGTATACTACAAAATAAATAATCAGTCATTTCCTGTAGAAGATACAAATGTAATAAATAAATTACCGAATTTATTTTTTGTTTTTGTTTTGTCATTTATACTGCCTTCCCGGCGGTTGAGGCGTGAAATTTGCTTGCGTTCTCATTCATTATAATATGACATGCTTGAATTCATCGCTTTTTCATTATAGAAATGATTCCGAATTTAATTTTAGCTGTTAATCGAAGGGATTAATTGATAAAGATCGGGTCCATAGACAAATAAAATAGTAAACACAAATATCTCAGCGCCTGGTGGCGCGTACCAATAACTACAAAAAATTGCGACTTGCATGCATCCCTTATAATGGCCATAACAGGTCATAATCATTGCAAGCAAAATATTAACCAAATATCGTGAGAAGTACCTTTTAATTAAGATAAGTTTCAAATAATACACCTTTTATCAGGACACGAAAGTTCTCATAAGAATGTTAGCAGCGGTTGTACTCATTTCGGAAATAAAGTTTGAAGAAGACAACAGAGGGGTTGCGCAAATAAAGGATGTTGCTCCTTTTGCTCATGGTAAGTATTTAGACGTTATTACTTGGTTGCTGGTCGCCATTATGCGATAATGACCCGAAGATGTGCATAATGGCCTGAGGGCCGCAGGTTCTTTAAAACCTATGTCCGAAATACGGGATTTAGACATCGCCGCTAATTTTGGTTTTTGCCCTTTCTAGAAACGGACAATTGTCAATGTAAACAAATATCTGTCATTCAGTTTAACCCTCCGATTGCCTTTGAAAACATGACAAAACAAAATAAATAGGAGAAGTGTTGTTTTATTGTTGTTTATATTGATAAATATTATATATACTGTTTGCGAGAATAACATTTAGTGCCAGGTTTTATGAACTTTTTTGCCTTCAAGAACGGTTTCCGAGAGTAATGTCTAGCTCTATTTGCCATCGATCCGATCTTTTTTTCGACTGTTAAAACATTTTTGGAAGTTGTCTTAGGTCGAGTTATTGTATTCTTTATTAACCTTCAATGTTAAGCTTTGTTGATTGCGATTGTTTTTGTCATTTAAACTTAAAATTTGTGTGCAAGTGAATAGAGCTCATTCAACGTCAGCAGCCATCTTGAAAGTCACTGAGAGTTGCGCTCATTCACTCGCCCAATATGGAAAAATAATGCCGATAAGCAAGGCGGCCGAAATTGCATAATGGCCTAGATCTTTCCATAATGGCCCTGAAATACCATAGATTATGTTACTTTATATGTAATATTCATACTTTATCTACAAATTATTTTGCAGTAGTGTAAGTCACAGTTAAAATCAGTTTATTTGATATACTCTTAGTGGTAATGATACCACTTTATGCTTTCGTCGCGTTTTCTCATGCGATTATCTAACATTGACTCTATGTTTGTTTCCATTTATCAAAATATGAAAAAGAAGTCTGATATAGTCTATATACTACATTGTAACACATTTCATCTTATGACTAAACATGACTGAAAATACGAATGATTGATAACACTAAATTAATTTGAGAATGTCCACTAATTTGATTGAATCATCATTTTTTTGCAGCCGCTATATTGCTAGATCTGGATGAAATCACTTTCGGCGAGGCGCTAATTACAAGCAAACGGAAAGTTAGAGGTGAAGTTTTTTCCACAATAACACTGTTAGGGGTCATATATATAGCGACATTCTAAGTTTACTGGTTG